GTGCTTTGGAACACATTCAGAGATCTTGTAGACCAATTAAAAATATCTTTTTAACAAGTGGACAATAATTGTATCATTCACTCCTTAACTTTTATTAAATGTGGACTAGTTTCATGTTGCAAGAAATGAAGGCAGATAATACTTCCTCCCAGTTGATAATGTATAGTGCCCACTGGGCTCATTAAAATTATCTTTAGTTTTTTGTTTTTTTTAATCATCTACATATTACTGTTTGGCATAAGGTGTCTCAGAATTTTATACTCGAAGCTGTTTTTTGCACATAGAGTCAGAGACCAGAAAACTGTTTGTTAATATCTCTAAGAAACCAGCAGGATCCTCAACTATCTATCTGTACAGCTTCCCCCTTGTATGGGAACACAGAGAGCACCTGATTCCTGAGTGACTTGGAAGCAGAACATCAAGAATAGGTCTGCATGTCTTTATTACAAATGCTTGCATCAGACCTGTTTTGACATTTGTGATTTTAGCAATCACAATTATTAAGCATTTTCCCTCTGGGGTCCAGGTCAGCGTTTTCTAATTAGGCCCGTTAGTATTTCAAGAAGCACACTGACTCAAGGTGGTCCACATCAGGTTTTGGTGTTAGATGGTTTGTCACATATGTAACAGAAATCTTGGTGTCTTCCGACAGTTTGAAATGTAAAATCACAGGTAAAGCATTGTTAACCTGTACCTACACCTGGTGAGTCTTCTTCAGAAAGCACCAGAAGTATATGGTGAGCCCCTAAAATTGTGATTCTGTGATGAAGTCATTTCAAATCCATTTCCTTTTGGGCTTGCCATGGGGTAAGCCCCTTACTAATGTTCACCCGTGAGAGAGAGAGAGAGAGAGAGAGAGAGAGAGAGAGAGAGAGAGAGAGAGAGAGAGAGATTGAGATTGATTGATTGAGGCCAGTCTTCCTCTCATTACTTGGAAATGGAAGACATGTCTCTGAGAATCCTGTCATACCCATACCCTCTTCCCTTTAGACATTTAGAACCAACTTAAGATTGTTCTTAAATTTTGAATATTATTTAATGTTACCATTTCCCCATCAGGCAACCGGGATTTTTTTTGGAATTGTTCACTGGTAGAATGCAGAAGCACTGAGTCCTCTAACACGGGTTGAACACACCCAAGTAGCGGTGGTAGAAGTGGTGTGCTAATGGAGAGTCTAGAGGCCGGTGCAGTCCTGCCCTCGGTGTTTCCTTGAGTTTCGAAGGTTTGGTGTCATTGCTAAATATGTCATTTCATAGGTCCTGGTTCACAGTTTGAAGTGTGTCTTAAAATGCTACTACATAGTTGCTTTCTGGTGCTTGCTGGAACATAGGAAAATTGCCATCGTTGTAAAGTACTCTTCCCAGGAGTGCTGCATCTTCTATTGTAAAATACCCTCTGCTAGCGAAGCAGGTGTGCTTTTGCTGAGTTGCTTACTTGTGACAGGACGAGGAATTTAATAATTCATCTCAAAGTCCGTGTAGTGGTGCTGGGAGGAGCAGCGAGAGCTTTGAATTCTAGGTAAATTCCTCTTATTGCAGGAATTTCCAGTTAAAGTGTGAAGCTCCCATATTCTGAGCTCTCAGAACCTTTTTCAGGCGTGTTCTGTACACATCTGGGCAGTGAGAGGCGTTTCTGTGCCTTTCTTAACTGCAGCTGCCATATACAGTGTTACCAGCTTTGATCTTTTCATTTTGAGACATGGAATGTAAAAGATTGTATGTGAGTGTCTAGAATGGGCTCTGGAGTGTTGGAAGGTACAAACAAAGGATAACACCAATCAGAAAGCTCACTAAAATAAGGCATTTTGAAGGAAGTACATAGAAAATTGCTGTTACTGTAGATAGACAAGGAGAAAAGCCCTATTTAAGAAGTCAGTGGAATGCAGAGGAAGGAGCTAGCTCTGGCACAGTAGAGGCACGTGATTCATTTGCTTACACTGTGTCTGCACAGTGCATTCTAGGTGTGCTGGATAAGTAAGAATTCCTTATTGAGGTTCAGAAAGAAGTATTATTATTGACATAGTTTTTAAATCTGCCACTTCAAAGGAGTGGACCAGCTTTGGGATAAGAACATTTTTAATTTTCCATGTTACAATTTGTCAATTTGACATCAGTTTACCAATACTGGCATGCATTTTCATTGAGGTGCACTTAGATGATTTGGGGATCAAGTAAATCTAGTTTTAAAGTTAAGGAATATTTTTTCAACATTGTAGCTTAATTTAGTTCTGTTAAACTAAGTTTAAAAAAAAAACAAGTTTAACATCACTCATGGTTGCCCACCAGAATTAGCTGAGACCCTGTTGCTAAAGATATATCTTGATTGCAAAATACAGAAAAAACAAGTTAGAAGTAATCTGAAAACTTCCTCCCTGATGGCTAGGTTTCAGAGGGCTGGAACATGTACAGGTTGCTGAGGAAGGAAAGGAAAAAGTACTCAAATGTGAATCCTACAAACTTCAATACCAACCTGCTAGGCAGGATGTGGCCACTTACATAATAATGACAGTCCTGGTATGGATGTAACCAGCCACTTTCAGATTGGTTTTGAGGCCCACTCAGCAGGAGAAAACTCATGCAAGAAAGTGTAAGCCCAGTTAAATATCTGACTGGAGAAGTCGTGGTCCTTAGTGGGGGAACTTACTGTTTAAGCAATGTCATACTGCCTTCTATATGTTTTACCCATAGACAAATCCGACTGTCTTAGTTAGTGTTGCTATTGCTGTGATGAAATACCATGACCAAAAGCAACTCGCCAAGGAAAGAAGTTTATTTTGCTTACATATCCTGAATCATAGCCCATTGAGTGAAGCCAAGACAGGAGTTCAAACGGGGCAGGAACCTGGACACAGGAGCTGATGCACAGCCCATGGAGGAGTGCTGCTTTCTGGCTTGCTTCTCATGGCTGACTCACCTGTTGGTTTTAACAAAATCTCAATCTTTTGACTTTATCAATAAAGACTCAGGAGCCAGATGCTGGGGTGAAAACCTGCTAGCTCAGAGGGGCAGAGAAAGCACCCAGCTGATCTTCCTCCTCCACCAACATCATCCCAGAAATCTCCCTTCTATTCCATCTCAAAAAGCACTCCTCAAACTGAATGTCCCTGCCTTCTACTTCTTGTGTGTCTCTTTATCCATCTTCCTGACTCTTATTTACTCTCTATGTTTTTTTCTTAATAATCCTATGTTCACTTCCTGTCAACTAGTTGCTTGTCCTGCCTCTTGATCTATAGTTGGCTTTATTTAATCTTGCTTACAATATTCAAACAGAAAGCCCTTGGCTTATAGGTGTGTGCTAGGGCTGAGCCACACCACAGCTAGAAACAGATTGTTCCAGTAAATAATCCAATCTTGTTTCATAGTGTGATCAAATATCCTGTAACACTTGACCTGATTTCTTACAAAACCAAGGACACCCAGCCCATGTGACCCCATCCACAGTGAGCTGCGCCCTCCCCCATTAATCACTGATTAAGAGATGCTTTACATTCCTTGCCTATACCCTGATCTTATGGAGGAATTCTCTCATTTGATGTTCCCTTCTCAGATGACACTAGCTTGTGTTAAGCTGACATAAAACTAGCCAGGCATCTACTTTTGGTTTTAATGAAAAGACTGTACAGTGAATAGGAGGCAAAAGCAGAGCTTTATGGCTTCTAAACGTGCTTCGAGTGAGCGATTCTTGAGTGCTGAGCCCTAAATAAAGCATTTATACATTCTCTCTAAGGCTGTGGTGGGGGTGGGGGTCAAGAGAGGATGTAGAAAGAATGGAAGAGCTGGAACATGGGTGGACAGACCGTGAAATGCCATTTCCTGGCTGTGACTGTTTACGCCAGGTTTCTACTTGGAATACTGATGGCTGATGTTGTAGTTAAAGGGACTGGAGTGAGCTCCCTTTCAGTGCTCTCATGTAAAAGAGAGACCAGATCATCTCTAATATTTCTAGCACTCACAGCTTTTTCCAGTTGCATGCAGTTATTTTAATACTGACTACAGTTCTTTGTACTCCCTGCATCTTATAATTCTTTCATTTTCCTATATTTTATTTTATTTTTGTGATTTTGTTACCTCACATCACAAACTGTATGTAATTACAATAAAATTTTTGATTGGTAGGTCTACATGAATATAACTACCAATTCTTCACTTTATAGAAATTACCAAAATATATTCGGCAGAAGGAATATTAGAAGACTTGTTAACAGCTGGGGAGATAACTCATTAGTAAAGCCCTTGCCCTGCAAGCGTTTAAGGACCTGTGTTTGATTCCCCCCAGCATGCTTTGTAGAAAAGCCAGGCATGGTGCTTCCTGCTTGTAATCCCAGCACGGAGGAGGCAGAGACAGTCGGATCTCCAGCATGGACAGGCAAGCCAGCCTTACCTCTTTGGCAGTGAAAGAAAGAACCTGTCTCAAAAGAAGAATGGATGATGCTTGAGGAAAGATACCTCAGGTTTTTTGGTGGCCTCCACAGGCACGTATGCACACAGAAGATACTTAGGGCAGATAGAGATCTATTCAGAACCAAATTCTTTGTCTTTAAATGTGCATATATATCTGAAGCCTTGGACCTTTGCTAAAGCAGGTTAAGACATCTCAGTCTATCAAATTACATTTCCATGTGGAGTACATTTCAAATGATTGTTTCTGCACAAACATTGGCTCTTTCATTTATAATTGATATGTAAACATTGGGTATTGTTTCCTTAATTTTGTATAGACAATACTTGATTATGTAAGCATGAGTTTTCCTTGCTGAAGCATTTTAGCATTACAAACACCTGTTTTTAAATTGACTTTACTCTCTATTTGCTCTTGGTTTTGGTCACTTTTACTGATACATGTTAGGTACACATCCTTTTGTGCAACTATTTAAAGATTAACTTTAAAATTCAAGTATTGTATGTGTTTTTTACTACTAAAGGAAAATGATACATAGACTGAGAACACGCCATTGCACACAGTTCATCACTGTTAACAAGCTCATGTTATTGTTTTTCAGGTGACGTGTGGAGACAGAAGAAGAAAACTGTCAAGGAACTCAGACCATTGAGTACTTGTTTTTTGAACCAACTTGAGGATTTATCTGGTCAACATGAAAGTAAGTGTTTGAAACTTAAGCTAAAGATGTAAGCTAATAGTCAGTTCATGTCTGGCTTTTAACCAAAAATGCTTTTATAGAATTAAAACAGTCACATAGTAGGATGGTATTGTGTATATTCTGACACCACACAGTTTATGTGGACCAGGTAGGACTAGTATTGAGTAGAGGGGCAGCTGAGAAAGCATGTTGGATATTCATTCTCTCTCTCTCTCTCTCTCTCTCTCTCTCTCTCTCTCTCTCTCTCTCTCTCTCTCTCTCTGTGTGTGTGTGTCTGTCTGTCTGTGTGTGTGTGCAATGATAACATCATTCTCAAGGAGCATGCTTTCCTGAGTGCAAGGCAAGTAGTTCTTCCTTTGGTCAGTCTAGATTTCTTCATGACTGTCCTGTTTTTCCATATGTGGAAATGGACTTCTAGGTTGTACTTTATTTTAGACATTTGTTTATTCAACAGATGAGTGAATTGTATGTTACAGTGATTGTTCTCTACTGAAGGTCTTAAGTTAACATTACTATAATGTGCCAGTCATTTGTTACTTGATCGTAGTTACATAATCCTTCTGATTCACGACTTCTGTGTTTTTGGCTTCTCTCTCTTGTTCACAACAGCTGTTGCGGAGATGTGTTAAAAATCATTAGCACAGAATTGAGGCCGTCTTCCTAATGTAGTCAAAATAATTGCCTCACTTGTAAAAGAAAATGGGGATAGGACAATTGCATTATCTGTCTCCTCCTATGTCTCCTTTATCTGTCTCTTTTTCTCTCTCACATACATGATCTAATACGTTTAATAGACAAATCTGTATAGACTCCTGGAATAGACAGCACTAACTCCTGAGTGTGGAGATCTTCAGTTCCTCGAGGCTTGCCTGTATTTTGTGTCCTTCTGAATGTCACAGGAAATGTTACGGGCTCAGGAAATATGTGGCTCATAATAAATAAATAGTAAACACCGTATTTTATGTTACTGTTGAATTTGGTGGATCTTGTGGTGTGTATTTAGCTTAGGATCTTTTGGTGTGTGGGGAGTTTCTGGGGTGCAGGACCTTCAGGCAAGCTGAGCAGATGCTCTGCAGTGGGCTTCAATTTCAGCCCTGGGCTTAGGGTTTTGGTATAAAGTTTTATAAAACCTATGTCGTGCATATTGAACAATTTTGCTCCCTTGTGTTTCTTATTTGTTAAGATTTATTGGTTATGTTTGAGAGAGGGGGGAAGGGAGATGCCTCATGTTTTGAGGAGGCAGGGTACCTTGTTGACTCTGCCACTGTGCTGCCTGTGGCCACCTCTGAAGTCTCCCCCTCCCACACACCAGAGGAGTGCTGGAATTACAGCTGTGTGCCACCCCCTGCGTCCCGTGGTTGTTTAACATGGATCCTAACATTGAGCTCAGGCTATAAGGCTTACACAGTTATTATTTCCATGCACTGCCCAGCTCCTCAGCCCCTAAGGTGTTTCTTGGCAAAACTCTAAATAATCTGTTACGGCAGGGCCTGATGTAACTCAAGTGGGCCTATAATTGGCTGGGTGGGCCTACAGTTGTAACTCGCTGGGTCACAAAGCCCAGATTTTAGGTAATATGAGTTAGTCTGAATGGTTAAACAATGTTTTGAGGGCCACCAAGCCTTGCTATACCATGTAAGCCTGACAGCCTGGGTTCAATCCCTGGAACCTGGAAAGGAATCCTCCCAAATTTGTCTTTTGACCTCCACATGTGTGCAATGGAACATGTGTGTCCACAGTCTCACACACACATCATAGACTCACATTAACCATAATATTTAAGAGAGATGAAAGTTTTAAATCATTTCTAAAGTACTGCTAATTTGCGGGACACTTGTCATTGTGTATATATTTCTTTCTACATAGCCCGTTTTGAAGCATTTCTCCCTTGTTTTCTCTTTGGAAGCGCTCCTCTGGTCACGACAGAAGGGAGAGCCACAGTGCACACCACCGGAACTCCTCCCCAGAAGACAGGTAACTGCTCTGTGTGTGCCGAGTGTGGATTCCAGGTCTTCATCGATTTAGTTCTTTGATTAAGGTGGACATTGAAGTGCTGTTTTGCTGTTATGACGTGCTTATATATTCACACAGCCTTTTATAGTTAAATTGTTATTTACATCAGCATAATTATAAGATAAGCAATCTAGAAATAGTACCAGGAATGTGTATTGTTTATGTTTATTAGTACTACAGCTGTGTCATTTACTAAGGGAGGACCATTAAAATAATTCCTAAAGGAGAAGCACCCAATTTCTTACGCACTATATTCTTACTCCACTCTGCCAAGTATCTCCCAGGACCTTTGCTTTAGGATCTTGGATTGTGACTACTTACTACCCTTGCCAGTCACCTGTCTCTGTCAACACTCAGACATGCAGTGTAAGGTAGTTGTAGATATGTATATAAAACACAAATCATATTGCCATATAGGTTATATATTTAACTTCCCTAGTGTTCTCTGGCTTTATTGAGTTTTAAGAGCAAACAGTGGGTTTACTGGATTCACTTGTTCATTTGTTCAGTGTTCCCAGCACTGCAGCTTCCAGAATACCATCCAGTGGTTATAGAGCTTGGAGTAGAGTTCTCTAGAACAAGCAGTAATTGATGTGGTCTCATTCGTCGTTCAGTGTTGCTGTGAGGAGGGATTTGTAAAATAGCCTCTTGCTGCCCATTATGTGTAATTTCCAGATTGATTCCTTCACTAAGGGCAGTGTGAATATGGATGAGGAAATTTGGCTGAGTTAATTCCAGGAGTTGTTTTGCTGTGCCCATGATGGAAGCTTTTGCAATTCAGAATGCTTATGTTTGGTCCAGTGTAGGAGTATCAAGTCTCATGTGGCCCTCCACCGTAAGTGAGGCATGCAGACTAAGTTCTGCTTTAAAAATAGAAGTTAATAGTTCAAAAACATTTCATTAAAGTTTCTGTGTGGGTAGCATCTGCACAGTGAGAACAAGCTAGGTCACTGTAGGGAAGTGACTGCATCAGCTGGTGCACACAGCTTCTCTCAGTGGTGCCGAGCACTTCTTGCTACAGCTGCTGTCTGGGAGCATGCCACATGCAGATCACAGGGAGAGCTTGCAACATCCTCTTTGCTGCTAGTTGGGGGTTATATCTGAAATACCTTGAAGACAGTATAGTTTTTCAAAGTGAAGTGGACAGACTGAAACACATGCACTGAAGGAAAGCAACTGAAGGTGGCCTTTCTACATCATCCTAATAACCAGGGGTTCGGAGACTTCTAATAAAAACAGCAGTGCTTCAAGCGGCAGTTTCAACTCTTGGGTTTTTATAATACATTTGTACTTCAATTTAACATTATGAAAACAAACTCTTGTTTCTTCTTTGCACAATTTACCAAATACATCACAATTCATCTTAATTTTCATGCCACCTTTTCCAACTTAGAAGCTTATGTTCATCTCCAGTATAAAAATTTTTAAAGTATATTGGTTGGCTTTTTAAAGAGTTCAGTCAGATTTAAACTCATTTTGATTCAACTATTGCAATGCTGGATTCTTTACTATTTCATGACAGTATCACCCTGGTTTTGCTCAGCTTTGCAGTATTTTTTAGTTGAATGTCATCCTCTTCTGGGTTTTTTTTTTTTTTTAATGGTTTCTCTGTGTAACCCTGGCTGTCTTAGAACTCACTCTGTAGACCAAGCTGGCCTCGAGCTCACAGAGATCACCTGCCTCTGCCCCCCAAGTGCTGGAATTAAAGGCGTGTCCCCGGCTGTCATCCTCCCTCTAATTTGCTTGCTTCCAGGCTAAAGCTTCTTTTGTGCCTTGAGCGATGGAATAAGATATCTTTTTCTCTGTGAGGGATTACTTTACCATCCTTGTAGAGACCCTCAGAGGTTTCCCAGTGAGAACTTACTCAGGGTCTGAGAATCTGAGCTTGCTTTACCCAGCAGGACTGTATAAGGGGATGATTTGGCCACGGGCCTGGTTACCGGGTATTTGGAAGGGTCTACACTTGGCTGTGTGGTGTGTTTTGATCTAGTAAGGGGGAAATCTTTTGCCCCGCCCCTTGGCATTGTTATCAAAGGCCCCTTTGAAGAGACAGAAGGGACCGGTGGATTTTGATCCAGGTCCTCCTGAAGCTATCCTGTGTTTCTGTCTTTCTACCCTCTGCTATCTTTCTATCTAAAAGCTTCTTCTCCCTCGCCCCTCCTCATAGGAACCCTTTAGAATATGGGAGCTGGCCCCCCACACATCCCGAACCACTTTTATCTCCTGTGGGCTCACTCATTCTGTGTGTAGTCCATTGTAAGAACGCTTTTATGTTTTATCCATCCTCCCGCCCCATTTTCCAGAGGTAGGGACCAAGAAAAACACAGAGAAAGGAAAAGGTCCCGGAAATCCCCATCTCCTGGAAGAAGAAGCCCAGAACAAGCAGTCACCCAGAGTTCTACTCAGGAAGAACCTACCATGAAGAAGAGGAAGGATGAGCAGGATCCACTGCTTACCCGAACTGGGGGAGCGTATATTCCTCCTGCAAAGCTCAGAATGATGCAGGAACAAATTACAGATAAGAACAGGTATGTTGATATACGGCACCTCCAAAGCAGAAATAGCCTCATTGAACAAGGAGCAGTCTAATTAGCGTTCACTGTTAAGAATATACTTAGTTTACCCTGATAGAGACCACAAAGTTCAGCCTCTTGTCTTTTTGACTTCAGAAATTCCTTTGGAGCATTGTATACTACTTGCTCTGATATTAACTCATAACTTTTATGTTTCTGTGTGTGTGTGTGTGTGTGTGTGTGTGTGTGTGTGTGTGTGTGTGTGGCTTTTTGAGTGTTGAGTGTTAGTCCTCAGGCACTGTCTTTTATTTTTTTGTTTATTTTTTGGAGTCTGGTTTTCTCAGTGGCTTGAAACTTGCCAAGTAGGTTAGGCTGGCGGGCCAACAAGCCCCAGGGATGCACCTGTCTGTATTACTGTACCTATTCCAAGTATTGTGTACCACTGAGCCAGGCATTTTTTACATGGACTTGAAGGTTGAACGTTTCTGTTTGTGTGTCATAGGGCTTGACAGTGATCTTTGAAATATAATATTGGGGAGGGTTTTAGCGATGACTTCCTTAGTGCATACTTCCTTATCATCTAGGCATTTGGTTTTTACAAAGGTAGCATTGGAAGAATTAGTGAAAAGTATTCACTTTTCCCAAAGCAGATTATTTAGTCGTGAAAGAAAAATGTTATTGATTGAATTCTTGCACCATGACAGGTACAATAGGCAGGGGAAGAGTTAGCAACATACCCAGCTTTAAGCAGTTCTGGGAGATAATTCACATTAGTGGAGGTCTGTCCATGGTCAGAAGGTGCAAGTAGGAAGGAAGGAGGAGTCTGTAGGTTTTACTTTGAATTGATCCCTGATGGGGTGAAGAGACAGTGCCCGAGTTAGTGACAGTAACTGTGCTTGATGTTTGCCAGCTTCCTAGGAGGCTGTGCTTACATCTTCCTGAGTCACAGACATGTTTCTCTAGAGATAGTGACGGATCCAAGGTGTGCAGAGTGCGACACTGGATCTCCTCCGCCATAGCCGAGTGCAGCAAGCATTAAGAGTTTGACTGACAGAGAATTTTGAAGCAACAACAAAATATTAATTGCAAGTTCGCGTCTGTAAATCTGCCTCTTCTCCTCATGCGTACTGACGGTTTTAAACAATGTCAGGGACCTAATAACCCACCAAGCACTGTTCTCACTGCTCTACTTGGAAGGGACTGTAGGTTCCTAGATAGAATTTAGGCAGTCTGGCCACGAATCTGGATTGGGGAAAATGCATTTTATTTTTTATTAATCTCCAACTAAAGTTTAGCATTTCTTTCTATTGGAATCGTAACTCTCTATATAATGTATAGTCTCAATCCGTTAGTTACAGTTACTGTGAAATACTGTATGTGGCCCTACTACTTGAAATTAAAATCAATACTTAGCCTCCTTCCACTTCTTGCTACTTCATGTCTGAAGACACTCAGAGCATACTGTATCAAGCATGTTCTTTTCATGTTTTGAGGATTCTTTCAGTATCTGTTATGACTTTTTGTAATATATGCACGTCAGGAAGCCTACTGGTTTCATTAGACTCTAAGAGAAGTATATGGGAAATCATGGCTTATTTCATCTAACGTTAAATTCCAAGAGAAGTAATTCTAAAAACCGTAAGACCCTTAGAGCTTTAAAAGACCTTGGGCATTATCAAGCTTAATGTAAAAAAAGAAAAAAGAAAAAACAAGTGAGGCTTAAATGCCCAAATGTAAGTTAAATACAGTATAGCCATCTAGCCTTCACTGGAATGCAGCTCCCGGATAGCTGCTACATAAAAGGAGGTCTTTAAATGCTATGGCAGTGTCTCAGCTCCAAGGTCCCTTGTTTGTGACTTTCCCTTTTTTTGGTCATTTTTTAGCTTAGCGTACCAGAGGATGAGCTGGGAGGCCCTGAAGAAGTCAATTAATGGTCTTATCAACAAAGTCAACATTTCCAATATTAGTATTATTATCCAGGAGCTACTCCAGGAAAATATAGTCAGAGGGAGGTAAGTACTGGTCATTTACCTGGTGTATCTCATAGTAAGTTTCCAAAGAAACATAATTTCTCTGTGAACAATAAGCATTTGTTTGTTATGCTACTATATTTCAAAGGTACTTGTGAACGTTTATTGAAAATGCAGTTCTTTTACATTGTAAACTATTAAATAACTTAATACCATATTGTTCAAGGTTTGTAGAGTCAGTGATTTTTGAGATTTGATATCACAGCATAATTTTGCACAAACATTTACTTAATGTCTAATAATTTAAATCTACAAGGCATAATTTTTAAAATATGCTATTTCAAGCCACTTTAATTTTTTTTAGCTGTCATAAAACCTTTATTAACAGTGTGATGCTTCGGTATATACATCTTGTGTTGTCACAGGTGCCAGGATTTTTCCTTAGAGCTGAGCAGTATTCCATTGTCTGTATATGAACTGTCTTTCCTCCTCTGTCAGTGGCATGGAGCTCCATCTGGCTCTTGGGGATAATGCTGTAGGGGATATGGTGTGTGGCTCCCTGGCCTCGTGTTTTCCCTACCGTCTGCATAACTGTGCATTCCTATTCACAGTCCACGAGTGTTCCCTGTCCTTTGCATCCTTGGCAACACCTTTGTCATTTTGATGACATCCATTATACCAGGGATGAGATGATACATCATTTGATTTTATTCTGTTCATCTGATGATAAGCGATGCTGCACGGTATCACCTATGGATTGTCTTGAGAAATGACTGGTTAGGTGTTTTGTTGATTTTCAAACTGGGTTGTATGGCTTATTTCTGTTGGCTTATCTGATTTCCTTGTATATTTTGGTTTTAGCTCCTTATCAGACTTGACTCGTAGATACTTCTTTCTCTTCCTGTATTTTGTCTCATGGTTTCTTTTACTGTCCAGAAGCCTTTTAGATTGAGGTCTCATTTGTTAAGTTTTCTTGGGTTACTTGTGATTTTGGAGTTATGTTTTAAAATGTATCAATCTAGACAAATATCATGGAGTGTCCCCCAGTAGTTCTGCAGATTCTGTTTTTCTGTTTATTAATCAATTTTAAGTTGATTTGTTGTGTTGCATGAGATTAAGGTATGCTTTTATTCTTCTACATGCTACTGTCTAGTTTTCCTACCACTACTCTTGAACAGACTACCTTTATATTGTATGTTTTGATGCTTTTGTTAAAAAACAATTAGATATAAATGTGTTCTGTTCTCTGTTGGTGTCCATAAAGTTTAGTGTCAGTACCATGCTGTTTTGATTTCTGTAGCTTCATGTAGCAATAGTCGACTTTAAATTGGGTAATATGGCGCCTCTTGCTTTGCTCTTTTTGCTGAAGATTTCTTGGCTACTTGGATTCTTTTATATTTAATATTAATTTTAGGAGCTTCTATTTCCCTGAAAAATGCTACTCAAATTTTGATGGATATTACATTTGAATTTGGATGTATGACAAGTAGCATAGCTTGTTCCTGATCCTAAAGGAGGCGTTTCTGGCCTCTCACTGTTGAGATAATGTTCACTTTAGGTTTGTTATTATGTCTTTTTACATTCTAATTAGAGCAAAGTGAGAATGAGGTAAGACTGGGAAAGATGAACAATACATTTGAAGAAAAATGAAAGGAATCACCATTTTCTATTAGGATTCAAGCAGTTTTTTTTTTTTTTTTTAAGAATAAAGAAATGGAAATAAGTATCACATATCTATTATTTTTAAATCTGAGTGCTGTCTTATGATTTCACATTACACTGATTATAATAATTAAAATAGGACTAAGCTAAGTGGAGCATGTTGTCAGGGAGCAGAAGGTTGGCCAAGAGCCTGTCTTATATATAATCTGGGTTCACTTCTTTCCTCCTCGGTGGTTCACTGTTGTATCTAAGCTGCTAAGTATGAAGTCATTTCCTTCCCTTAGTTTCTTGCAGTCCAGTGATTGTCACTGTATTGCTCAGAATAATGAGAAGTAGGTTGCTGTATATCTCTTCTTTCCTTACCAAAAACCCATGACTGTTTGACTGTGAAACTTCATCACTGTGTCGTCACTCCATCGTCACGTATCCTTCCTTTTGTTCCTCTAAACGTACCCCAGCAGAAGGAAACAGCTCAAGTCCGTGTCCCAATACAGAATTATTTTATACAAATGACGGACCCATGGCATCATATTGTCTAAATTTCGCTTTATATTGTCTAAATTTTATACTCATCAAGCAAGTTTGTTTTTACTCCACTATTTTTGGGGTTTGGGTTATTGAAAGAATTTTCCTATAATATATTTTGATCACGTTTTTCACCTTCCCCAATCCTTATAGTCATGATTAGATGAAATGTGAATAGGAAAAAGATCTCATAGATCCGCCAGCCTCTGTCTCCCAAGTGCTGGGATTGAAGACGTGTGCCACCACAGCGGCCATAAAAGCATTTTGTTGTTGTTTATTTATGTTTTTGTTTTTACATCCCAACCAACATTTTTCTTCCTTTACTTTCCTCCCAGTCCCTTCCCCCCATCCACCTCTCTTCCTCTCTTGCTCTTCAGATATGAACAGGCCTCCCATGGATATCAGCTGGCCATGGTATCAAATTACAGTGAGACTAGGCACCTCTTTTTTAAAAAGCACTTTTTTACTGATTACTAAGATGAACTCTTTTTCCAGGAAAAATAGTAAAGATTTAGTTGTGAATGCTCTTTTATTATTCATGACCAGGGAATTAGTTTTCTTTGATTTTTGCATGTTTTTCCTAAACTCTGTCTTTATTATGTTTTGGACAGAGGACTGCTGGCCAGGTCCGTGTTGCAGGCACAGAGTGCTTCTCCAATCTTTACCCATGTATATGCAGCCTTGGTTGCCATCATCAATTCAAAATTCCCGCAAATTGGAGAATTAATTCTAAAGAGACTAATTCTCAATTTCCGAAAAGGATATCGAAGAAATGACAAGGTATGAATGGCTTGTAAGTAGATTGTCTCATGAGGTTAGTCCAGTAAACCAGCATCAATAAAAGTAAGCATGCTGTTTGTATACAGGAGTGCATTTAACATATGCTTCATGAAAACTGTTCATTCTCCTACATGTCCTCTGGCCACTAAGATGATGACTGACTGTATGCTTAACAGCTTTTATAGCTACTTCATTATATTATTGCTGGATAAAAATTACTCAGTATGTTCCTTAAAGAGCATGGTAATCCACTGTAGATTTTATCGATACAGGAAAATTGACTATAGTTGGTGAGTTAATTGTCTTTACTTTCATTTTTCAGCCACTTTGCCTGACAGCTTCAAAATTTGTGGCACATCTTATAAATCAAAATGTGGTAAGTAGTTGTCTTTAAAACCTGGTTGAATTCAGTGGCATAAGACCATGGTCTAGGTGCCATTTCCTTGCATCATAGTCTTTGATCATCTTGGTTGACATTTCAGTTGTAAAAGTGCTTGAAATGCACCTAATATTCTTGAATATAGAGAAAATCTGAATGTTGTAAGGTATTTAGTCAGGCTGATGTGATTAAACACTGTGGTTACTGAGCTACAAGTTATTCTGTGTAGAGTTTAACTCCATTTTCCTGCATCTCTTCCCTCACTCCCTCTGCCTAATGCTCATGACCACCTAATAAATAGGTGATGCTTGGTGTGAGCAGCTTGTAACAAAACAGTTTATCAGTGGTCATGCCTTTCGCTTGTTGAGTGTTTTTGTCCCTTTTATAACATGTATTTGCTTCTCCGTGGATCTTGTTCCATGACACCAACTGCGATGCTCACCCTAGCACACAAACCAGCATGTGACACATTATTCAGAGGCCACTGCTCTTCATCCCTTACCCATTGTCCCATCAGCAAGAGGGATTTGTTTAGGCCTTCTTCCTTATTTCCAGAGTGTCTCTAAATTCACTAGATATTAAAGAGATTATAAAGCTTTAATATATAACATGATAAAAATTTATAGAAAAACTATCATGTGCATTATAATCATTATAGAGTGCTAATTTATGTTTAAAAGCTTGTCAGTAGGGCTAGAGAGATGGCTCAGCAGTTAAGAGCACTGGCTGCTCTTCCAGAGGTCCTGAGTTCAATTCCCAGCAACCACATGGTGGCTCATAACCATCTATAATGGTATCTGATGCCCTCTTCTGGCATGTAAGCATACATGCAGACGGAGCACTCCTCCCTAGAAAAATACTTTTAAAAAAAAAAGCTTGTCAGTAACAGTTTAGTGATGTAAAACTATTTTATCTCTTTCATGTGTCTGGATTCTGTTAAGGCACATGAGGTTCTGTGCCTGGAGATGCTCACTTTGCTGCTGGAGAGACCAACAGATGACAGCGTTGAGGTAGCCATCGGCTTCCTCAAGGAGTGTGGACTCAAATTAACCCAGGTGTCACCAAGGGGAATCAATGGTAATTGCGCATCCTTGGTTTGTATATTCTTATGTATTCTTACTCTAGTGTTAAGGGTGTTGTTTTTTATTGTCTTTGCTTTGCTTTTAACTTCAGCTATCTTTGAACGCCTGAGAAACATTCTGCACGAGTCTGAGATCGACAAAAGAGTGCAGTACATGATCGAAGTGATGTTCGCTGTACGGAAGGATGGATTCAAGGACCACCCTGTTATTCTAGACGGACTTGATTTAGTAGAAGAGGATGATCAATTTACCCATATGCTCCCCTTGGAGGATGACTACAATCCAGAAGATGTTCTCAGTAAGCCTAGGGTGTGTGAAGCAGGAGGTGGGACACCAGCATGTCAATGCAGGAAATTAACACTTCTTGTTTATTTTTTAAGATGTTTTCAAGATGGATCCTAGTTTCATGGAGAACGAAGAAAAATATAAAGCTATTAAAAAAGGTATGTAAAATTTGACAAAAATAGCTTGGATCAGTAGAAGCAATGTAGACAGTTCATGATACTGACAGGAACATTTATTAATAGCCCACTGATTCTTCCCAACTGAAGCTCAGCTCCAGTGAGCCTGCTCTTTGCTTCCTCATGAATTAACTTTCTTGGTAGTGTATGCTTCTGGTGTAAATTCATTCTGAATTCTGCAGTTCTTTGCCCCTCTTCTTTCAAGTTTCACCTGTCTTAAGAAACACTCATAGATTACTAGTGGCCTTTATTAGTTGTTTTTTTTTCCTACACCTACAGTCAGTAGCACACAGCTAATACACAGCTGAGCGCTATTCGCTATTGGAAGTGTCATGATATACTGATTATTATCGTATTAATATTGCCAGATATCTGTATATCTGTGCTTTAGTTTTATTTAGAGGGTTCAGAACGTCTTCTGTTCCTGTGCAGTCTGCTAAAACTCTTCTACCCCAAACAGGTTTCTCTTCTTTGATGCAGATTCTTACAAGCTTTCCTCACCGCTGGACTGCTTCCTTTGCCGCTGAGGTTTTATTACTTAAGCCCATTCCTGTCCTCGTTTTTGGACTTCTTTCTCTATAGTTTCCCTAAAAGGTGCCAAGTTTTTCTGGATCTCTGATATGGTTTTCTATTTTAAACTTGGGATTCCTTTAGGGTCTAGGCACTTAGCCAGTACATGGATTATACTTTTTTATTACAAGGTTCTCAAGTTCTATGGTTTTGAATTCCCTTGACACTCCTTTAAAATTAGCCTTCAGAGCACTTGGTTTATGTGTTTTATCTGTTAGTGTTTGAATATTTATGAATTTTTTTCATAAATTTTTTTATGAATCTGCTACCATGCAAGCAACATTTTTATGAAATGATTAAATTATTTTAATAAATAATGGGGCTTATTGAGAAGATGACATTTTATGGACTGAGTAGTGCCTGACCTAATAGGAAATGGGCACTCAGTCCTTCTGCATTCTGCCTACTGCAGCTCACTCTAGCTTCATTTACAATACAGTTAGAAGAGGGAAGAATATTGTGATAGCCTTTGCAGAGATGTGTGCTATTCTTCCTTGATACTATGACAGTAGTTAACTGTTAGTAGTTTTGTTGTTGTTGTTGTTGTTGGTTTTTTTTTTTTTTTTTTCTTTAGTTTTTCGAGCCAGGGTTTGTCTATGTAGCTGTGGCTGTTCTGGAACTCCCTCTGTAGACCAGGTTGGCCTCAAACTCACAGATTCGCCTGCCTCTGCCTCCCAAGTGCTGGGATTAAAGGTGTGTGCCACCACCGCCCAGCTTACTAATAGTTTCTTAAAAGTTGATTTCCACTTGAAATCCTAAATGGTATTAGTGATTTTTCACAGTCAGTTAAATGTTAAAACCCTTTGGTATATGTGTCTCTTCTAGTAGCTCATTATGCCATACCTCATTTTGCAACATGTCAGTCATTTGGAACATCTTGCTTCACTGCGCTATATATATGTATCTTCTAAATGTTAGCACATGAACATCATCAAAATTGAGTTAACATGTTAGGATAGTATCAAAGCTCACATTTCTTAATGTTGCCACTTGTCTCAGAAGTTCCATTATTGGGAAGCTATTGAGTTCAGAGGGATAAATACAAAATTTTGCAAAAATTAGATTTGCTCTTTCAAACTTAAATTGTATCATGGTAGCAGATACTGTTTTTAAAATGAAAGTGTTACTTTGTTGCAGGAAATTTGTTTGCCAAATAGCTAACAACATCTGTTGACAACATTGGCCATTTTTTTCCCAAGTAAAAAGGAAAATTTTGTTACTTTATCCTCGGCCCAGGCAGTTACCCCAGCCTTGTTCTTGAGGTTACCACTGCACTGTCCATCGGTCAATAATACAAGTTGTACTGTGTTGTTCAAGTATGGAACTATAATACAATTAGTGTTGTGCATCTTCATCAAGGACAACGACAATCAAAATAGGCTTCCCCTGCTGCAAGTGTGGCGGAAAGCAGCATTGACTCCTGGTTCATTGCTTAGATTGCAGCGCTCTTAACCCCCTTTGCTCTTGGCTGTTACTGTAGATAGCAATGCAGTGAGAGGGCAGATAATACCTTAGAGTTATTAGGAAAGTAGTGTGGACCTCATAGACCATCTGACAGCTCTCAAGTTCCCCAGGGAATCATAGATCGTTTGTTGAAACCTTGTCTTATTCACCTATTGAAATCCAATTGCCAGTGCTTACGGAATTTTGGGAAGCTAATTCTAAAGGAAAGAGAAATGAGGAGGCTATAAACTATCAGTTTATTTGACCTTCGTCTTTAGTAAAATATTCCTCTGGAACTTGCATAAAAAATGACCACAGCAGGAAGTGAGCACAGCTCTAGTAATTAGCACCTTCCAGTGACCCAGGTGTACTTGTGTATCGGGTTTCACAGCATTTGGGAAAACAGCAGGAGTGCCTGGCTTCCTACTTTTGAATACTAAATAGTTTCTTCTTTTCAAAGTCTGTTCTATTGTATAATCAACTAGACCCTGGATTGTTTCTTAGAGTTGCATTTGCTAAGTGTTTCTAAGATTTGTAGGTCAGGTAAGGGCTAAATGACAGCTCCACAGTCTTATAAAAGGATTAGTTCTTTGCTAACATTAAATATATGGCTCCTGACTTACACTGCTATGCAAAATAGAAAGAAATGAGTATTTTCTAAAATTGAATTAAATTGGGTTAAAACCTCAGTGATTATCATAATAAATAAAAATGCCGTGTTGGGCAGTTCTAACAGTACCACTGTGAGCCACAGTTGTGCTCTCTGCCATTTGCACTGTTGATGTGGTAGATGGTTCTATGTGACCTTTCAGGTGCACTCATTCAGATATGAATGCAAGTTGCATTTTAAGAATAGTGACAGTTTTACCAATTTTGCTCTGTTTTAGTTTTGCTCATAAAAAAACCTTTAGATGGTAATATTCAATTTAACAATTGTATGTTTTAATTTAAAATTTTCAGTCTATTTATTATTTAAAGTGAATACATAAGTTTTGGAATGATTCTCCCATATCATTCTGTATATTCATTTTTTTATTCTTTTTTTTCCCCCTCCAAGACTTTTTTTTTTTT